TTACCAGAGGGTAGCTGTAGCCTGAGATCATTTCTGAGCCCACCAGGGGCGCTTGACGGAAGCTCACTGAAACTCACTGCTGAGAAGGAGACTGGGACTTCGCCGCCATGGTACCGGCTTTGGTGAACTAACGTAGATGTGGATCATCAAGAATTTGTAGACGATTTTCCTGATTTTTCCTGTGGAAACCATAGGTTTTCATAGCTTTTCCACATCTATGATTAGTTTCATAGGTTTTCCACATCTATTCAATGGGAGATCTCCAGGATCCAACAGATGGAGGTACGTTAGTACCATATTTCTGGCCGTATTTTGTGGTGATATTCCCTTACATAGCCCTTACATAGGCATTATACATGGTAGGTACCTCCAATCAATCGGTTCCTGAAATTGCCATTGATCTATGTTAGTTTACAAAAAGGGTAATCCAACGTGGTTGGCAAACCCCCGAACTCAATGGATTTCTTGGGCACCGGTGGCTTGTTGGCTACCAGTTCAATCCTTTGGGGGATAAAACCATGGTAAACCTGTCGAAGAATCTACCCTCCTGTAATTTAACATAGCCAGGAATTAGTTTGGGAAAAGGGCCTAGTGTAGATTCGATTTATCATGATTTATCTACTGCAATTTTACAATGGTGAATGCCCATAGCCATGCAAAAAAAAATGCCAGAGGGATCCAAGTGGAATCTTGCACAGGGTATCTTAAGGTCTAAAACTATAGCCATGGCGCAACCTACATCCAACAAGTAAACGCCAACAAGAATAGTGCGTTACCATTTGGTCAACAAAGGACAAATTTGGTCGGAAAACTAAAAATCATTCAGATCCATGCTAGGCACTTATGGAATCTTATGGATACTTATGGCCCATAAACATTTGGAAGTACCAATTTCAGGAACATATTTATGGCCTTCTTAAAGACATTCCCCCATCGTGGCCATAGTCATCCGCATCTGAACATCCGTGACTCTTCACCAGTGATTTGTTGTTGATCCCAGGGTTGGCAAATCATTTGAGCCCTGTATATTTCCTGTATCTATTTCTGTGTTCGCCATGTTTGCTCCAAAAAAGATCTGGTTTTCCAGATCGAACAACACCTTTTGTATCCTTTCGTGGTTTACGACACCACCTGCAGAGTCGAGGACAGGGACTTCAGCAACAGCTACAACTTCATGTTGGGCATCCTTTGTCCCGAGAAGCAGCAGATCCTCCTGTCTTCTGCGGATCTTTTCACCACCTCTGTGCCTGAAATGCGATGGCGCCAAAGGGATGGAATTGGCAAAGGGACCTTGGACCTTTGCCGAACAACAAGATGTATATAGACATAGATATATCCAAAACATGGATGAATATGCAATGAGATATGCACAGTGATATATGTAAACTGTAAACAAATAGATTGGGCAAACATTATGTAGTTGCTTGTGTTGACATGCCATTTTGCCTTTATTGGCGAGTGCATCCTCGTGAGTGTTTTTCTGACTTGTTACATGCACACCATCGACATCAGTTGGCCAAATGTATGATTGGCCAATGGTTTTGGGGCGCTGGATGAAGACTTAAACCTCATATTTGGTTACGCTTCATGCATGTTGATGGTGGCATCTTTCCAGTCATAACAGGTTGATTCTATATGCATTCATTTGTTTAGTGAATGATCTAGCCATACATAGTTGGTTTCTGTTCCGTTGTTCTTATATTCTAGATCATTTAAACTTACGTTAGATCATTAACTAAACAGCGTTAACCGCATGACCTGATCGCATCATTTTGGTGATCCATTTAATCACCTGCATGGAACTTCTTCTATCGGCTCCTTCCTGGTAGGGGATGAAACCACACATTTGACCCAGTGGGGTTGTTGAATATGACTGGGCGATGGGCTTGCTCCAATTTTTTAAAAATAATATATTAGTTGGCTAGATAGAGATACACACACACATATATATATACAGATATATCCCATGTCCAATTATATCCCATTATATACATATCTTACTAGATATCCTATAAAATCAGATTATCCAGCTCCAATGCATCTGCCAATTCCAGGTCTATCGGCCAGTGCCAGAGACCTCTGAAGAGGTGCCATCAGTTGGGGCGGATGCTCCGAAAATTGGCAGTTTGTGCCCCCAAATGGCTATTAAATCCTGGGCGAATGATGAATCATCAGATTCGGGGGCACCTACGATCGCTCAAGGAAGTCCAATTGAATGGCAGTTGAATGGGTGTTGTTTTGAGTGAAACACGCACCTTTTGGTATATGAGCTAAGCAAAGAAGCCTTTAAACGACTGTTACTGAGATTAGGCAAATCACAATATATATGTAAGATTACTTCTACAGATGGAATCTTGCACGAAAGATTCGTCCTCGGGTTCGTTTAACCGCGATCCCAAGTTTGACAGTCTGACCCATTTTTTATGTCAGGAGCGTATGAAGGGATTCAGGTCATCCATTCTTAGAATTCGTTGGACCATGTACAAGAACCCCTCAGATGATTACAATGTTCTGTTTGGCTATAAGAACCAATTTTCCATGAAATCACCATGAATTCATATCCGTCCAGTCACCCCGAGTCCGAAGGCCAAGGCCTACGCAGATCAACGGCGACGTGTCACGGAAGGCTTTGGAACTGACAAGAAAGTGCGGCAGAATCACCTCATGAGAGCGCCTTGGTGGATGGCGATGGATCACTTTGTTTTTGTTTGCGGTGTGGACCCAAGACATTCGAATATTTCAGCTGCATATATGTATACATATATACATGCACACAGATACGTATATATATATATATACATTATTATTTATATATAGTTATATGCATAAACAAATATTTATATCTATACTGTATACATATATATATATGTGTGTGTGTTTGTGCGCGCGTGTGTGAATACATTCGCATGTATTTATGGGATAAGGTGTTGCTGTTGCAACTGGTCTAGTGTTTTTAAATGTGCTGAATTCCCATACCCCAAAACGGGATGATCCACCCATCATGGCGACGGATTGACATACCTCGATCCGCCAGGAAATCCCAGAACCCATCAGTCCATGTTCGTGCCTGACGAACAATTTTTATCCAATGCCCATAGATACATAGATACATAGATACATAGATGGATAGATGGATAGATTCAGATAGATTCAGATAGATTCAGGTAGATTCAGATAGATACATAATAGACAAGCAGCCAGCCAGACAGACAGGCACAGGTAGACAGACAGACAAACAGACAGACAGATAGATAAATAGAGGTGGAGAGATAGATTGATAAAAAGATAGATAGATAAGCAGACATATATACGCGTGCGCAGAGAGAGGGAGAGAGAGAGAGAGAGATATATATATACATACATTGTTGGCTTATGACATGTACTCGCACACATATGTACACATCTTTGGACGAAGACGGTCCAGGAACGTATCGAGCGCAACTGCGAAGTGGCAGATTCAGAGAAGATCCAAGCGTACGCCTGGGCGGAACAGAAGACCTGGTGGGACAGAATGGAACTGGTTGACCCAATATGGATTAATGGTGGTTAATAAATGTTAAAACTGGTTAAATCCACTGGTCAATAATGTGATAAACCATGAGGCTTCATGATCCCAATTCATAAACCATCCCATCATCCAACCATTTTTCTGGGGGTCATGATCTACATCATCCCAGTCGTAGGGGCATATGGCATACCCAGTCGTATGTAAACCTCATGTAAACCTCTATTAGGGATATTAGGGATGGTTTGTTATTGTTTTTTTCCATATTAACAGCAAGCAAAATAGATGTTCTACACAGATTTCGGAACCATGTTTTGTTGTTCAATGATTTTCAACCTTCAAGTGGGTCTTTCAAAGTACATTTCATAGTCATAAACTAAAAGAATATGAACCTCTTCCATGGGTTTGTCTGAAATTCGGGTACCCTAGTCCATCCACTAATTTGACATCATTGCCCCGAATTAAATGACAAGTTTCTTAAGAACCGCAGTTTTTCCAGACACACCCAAATCAAATATCTTGCTGAGATTGATCCCATGATATTTCCACGAAATACATGTAAAATCATGTAAATAGATGTAAATAGCCTTAAATCACCATGAAACCCCCATGAAATCCCATGAACTCACTGGTTCGAGCATCATGACATCAGCATTGGGGTTTTGACCATGGGAACTCCCGTCCTGGCTCCAGGCTGGTTGAGGCCAAAGTGGTGGAACAGCAGCAGGAGAAGATGCCGCCCTGGGAAAAGGAGAAGAACGAAAGAGAGAAGCGGCTCGGACGCAGTTTTCGGGTGATCTTAGACGTCTAAGGCTCTAACGGACCAGGAAGATCTGGGAAAAGGGAAAGAAAGATGTGATTTTGCAGCAAACTCATGTGGTTTGGATCCATTCAAAGTCCGTTTAGCTAGAAATTAAGCGATGGTTTGCTGACTAGGCTCTCGAGAGAGAGAGACAAGGAGAGATAGAGAGAGATGACTTTTCCCATTGCTCGGTGGAGAAATATGCTTAATCCCGCAATGAACAACGCAGATAAATGGTATGCCAAACCGGCCCCCATTCCTTTACCCCCCAAAAGACGTCTACAGAGAACCAGTTGAAACAGGCAGCCAAGTTTGGAGCAAAATTGGGCACCAGCTCATACCAGCTCTACTAACGAAATTATGTGGAACTTATTGGCAAGCACGCCCAACCCCATCATGAATCATGGATAATCATGGGTAATTATTCAAGATTGCGGAAAGAATGAAGTAGGGTCTTAAGCTTTGGACAGATTTAGGAAGACCTATTCTCTTCTTAATTAATCCCACGCCCCCGAAAACGTGGGAAATCGTAGGGTGTAAAGGGATCAGCACATAATCATTGTGTACCATTAACCATAGGGGTGTTAGATCTATGAACTTGGGAGAAGATTACCCTGAAGATTCAGCGCCGACGCATGGCCGCGCCATGATTCCAAATTATAGGGAGGAATGTGGATTTCACCAACCTATATAGAGATATTGGTAATAGATGGTAGTAGTATGTAATAGTAATGTTTTACCATTAGGAGAGGCAAATGAAATATTAGAACTGCTTCAAAGGTTGTCATACGAATTGCTTCTCAACCATAGAAAAGGGATGCTTGGTGATGACAAGTTAAAACCACCAGAGAAGCAATGGCCACCAGTCCAGGAACTTGCCGCCTTTCTTGGACGATTGGGATCACGCCAGCGACATCTATCGTGCAGCTCGGCAGCTGAAGCGCTGGGGAGTTACGGTTAGTTTGTCCTACTGCATTTCTCCCAAAATCGGATGAAAAATTACCAGAAACCTCGATATTTGGGGGTTAGAAAAAATCGTGGTTTCCCGTTTCCAATGAATTTCCAAGGAATTTCCTGGGAAAACATAGGTCTTACTGGGATTTACTGGGTCTCACTTGCAATAGTCCATCATGGTCCTCTATAGAAATCCATAGAAATCCTATCAACAACACATCCAGTTCACAAGTGATGTTTTTCGAAGCTCAGGGATAGGCGCACTATGGCGCAGTTGATCTGCACTGTTTTTAGCCAATATTTAGCTAAGAATAACCGTTTTCCTGTTGAAGAACTCACTAACATTGAAAACTTGGACTCAAGAAGACTTTACACAAAACTTGCCATAATGGCAGGCTTGTGATGATTTCACTGCGCTTTTGAGGGCAAGAAGGGTTGGCCTGGCCTGGCTAAGATGTTTGGTCCATGGTCCATGTAAATTAAATCAGATGAAAAGAGCATCAATAGAACGTGCATGCATGTGAACACATAGACCTAATGATCTATGGATACACTTCCAACCAAAATAACGAGATCTTTACGTGCTGTGTATAGATATATACATACATACATACATACATACATACATACATACATACATACATACATACATACATACATACATACATACATATATGCGTAAATTATATTTATGCAACAATCATATATATATATATATGTATATATATATATATTAATATATATATATGCACACTATATTTGTTTATGTACCAATACATGCAAGGTGGGTTCCACTAGTTATGAGTTGGTTTGTCAGTAACTCTAGCTATATCCTCCACAAACTCTAGTTAGTCAAGCTGCAAGTCAACTTGGCTATCTTGCGGGCCCCATCTTGTAAATGCATATGATACCAGCTTGTAAGCCAAAGAAAGTGTGGGTGACGGCTTCTGAGGAAGGCCTAGAAGTCATCGCGTCGCAGAAGAACTACAAGTACGAGAAGAAGTTGTTGGATGATAGTACCACGGGATTGAATCGTGTCGATCAACATTTGATCATCAAAAGTGAGTAATTCTAATGGATTTAACTTGGTTGAACTGGTGATATATGGGAGTTCGCTGTTTAGTAACAATTAAACCTTAAAACTTGGGATTTCTTTAAAATGCATTTCACTTGTGATGTGGGGGAGCAATGGGAAACATAACAGGGATATTGATTGATATGGTATTTTGGATAGATGAACTATAACGAAAACGTTCCCTTTGAATGGCCGAACTTTTCAGGTTAGTATGATGATCTACGCATTGGCTGGTTATCCTTTGGATCATTCAGTGGTGAACATCGAACATTATCATAATTACATCATGAACTGAGATGCAACAAATGAATTTGCGTATGATCCTGATTATAAGTTTGCTGGTCGTTTTGATTCTTTTTATAGTTAATATACCGGAATGATTGGGATGTTGCTGGAGAGTTTGCCTTTCTTGGTGTTACTCTGCGCTTACAGGCCAAGATATGTGTCTTGCTTGGCTTAGCACATACTTTGGGTAGTTTCTGATCGTCAACTCAGACGCTCGCGCCGCACAGACCAGATACATGGTGCAACATGATGAATAACGGTAAATCATCCCAACATCATCCCAAAATCATCCCACTTGTTTTTTTTCCCACTCAAAGTTCTCAAAGTCGTTGAAGTTTTGTGATTTTTCTCACAGTTTTTCCACTCGTTGCCGAGCGGGCGTTCCTTGGCGAAAAAAGGCATCCGGCGCCTCTTGGAGCTGAAAGCGCCTGAGCTGGAAAAACTCGATGCGAAGAAGATCAATGACTTCCAGGTGCCGCCGAGAACAAAACGGGGCGCATTGGATGATGAGATTTGATCTACCATGATATAGCCAATGTGCACTGTGCTCGATAGATTTTGTTTGGTTTCTGAAAATCATATGATATAAAATGATATTATCCCCCAGCCAGTTTCCCCTATAGAATTGGGACACCTAGGTGCTGTATAAAACGATTTTTTTATACAGGTCCCCCCTCAATTTCAGCTGCCCTGTTTGCCTTGTTTTGGCGGGCTCTAATTTTATCTCAAAACTCCGGGTCCTAATTTTATATTTTTTTCGGTGCTTAAATTTAGTGACCTAGGGCTCCAATTTTATAGCAGGCTCCAATTCTATAGGGACATGTGTCGGTTTTGTATGGTTTTGTTCAGTTGCCAATTTTATAGTGTATCAATGCATGGTTTCATGAACCAAAGGGTTTCAATTTTGTAGCTACCTGCAATGTAATGCATTCCAGGGTCCCAATTTTATAGCACCTATTTGTTTTTGCATGTTTTTGTCTACATCAGAGCGCTCAAGCATGCGCAATGCGCATGCTGGAGAAGAGGAAAACATGAACAAAAACATGTAAAAAAACATGGGAATTGAATGGATTTGATGGGATTTGATTGCTTCTTACATCGTGCTTCTGCATGCTTTAAGAAAAAACAAAAAATGCCAAAAAAATGTCAGGTTTTGGGTGGACCTTGAGGGCTGCAATTTTATAGTCCCTAAAAACTGCCTTCGATCAGGGGCTTTCTATAGGGGGGGTGCTCTCCAAAAGGATTCCACGAGGCAAAGGCATGCAAAGGCACTGTAGAAGCAGCCTCAGCAGCTTCAGCTGCAGAAACAGCAGCCCCTAATTTTATAGTGGGGATATGTGATGATATGATATGAAATGATATGTGATGATATGTGGTGATTTGATGGGATTTGATGGCTTCTTACATCGTGCTTCTACATGCTTTAAGAAAAACCAAAAAATGCCAAAAAAATGTCAGGTTTTGGGTGGACCTTGAGGGTTGCAATTTTATAGTCCCTAAAAACTGCCTTCGATCAGGGGCTCCAATTCTATATAGGGGGGGGTGCTCTCCAAAAGGATCCCACAAGGCAAAGGCGTGCAAAGGCACTGTAGAAGCAGCCTCAGCAGCTTCAGCTGCAGAAACAGCAGTCCCTAATTTTATAGTGGGGATATGTGATGATATGATATGAAATGATATGTGATGATATGTGGTGATTTGATGGGATTTGATGGGATTTGATTGCTTCTTACATCGTGCTTCTACATGCTTTAAGAAAAAACAAAACATGCCAAAAAAATGTCAGGTTTTGGGTGGACCTTGAGGGCTGCAATTTTATAGTCCCTAAAAACTGCCTTCGATCAGGGGCTTTCTATAGGGGGGGTGCTCTCCAAAAGGATTCCACGAGGCAAAGGCATGCAAAGGCACTGTAGAAGCAGCCTCAGCAGCTTCAGCTGCAGAAACAGCAGTCCCTAATTTTATAGTGGGGATATGTGATGATATGATATGAAATGATATGTGATGATATGTGGTGATTTGATGGGATTTGATGGGATTTGATGGCTTCTTACATCGTGCTTCTACATGCTTTAAGAAAAACCAAAAAATGCCAAAAAATGTCAGGTTTTGGGTGGACCTTGAGGGTTGCAATTTTATAGTCCCTAAAAACTGCCTTCGATCAGGGGCTTTCTATAGGGGGGGTGCTCTCCAAAAGGATCCCACAAGTCGGGTCTTGTAGGAGCAATTGCCCGTAAAAGCGCAAAGGCTCCCATCTTGGCCAGCTCAGCCGATACCTTTACGTCGAACCACGTCATCGTTGGATGAACCTGCAGGTTGCGGAGGCAAGGTAGAGCTGCTGGCATTGTCTGTACTAGATCGGGAAATTTCTTGATTCGAGTTCGTAAGGCGGGACACATTTTCGGGGGTAGTCTTCTGTCGAAGACGCACTGATGGCACTTGAGGCGGCACGATGTTTTTCTGTGGGTGAATAGGTTTACAAATAGTGTTTCGCATGTTAGCTCTATCCTTCCATTTCCATGCTCGGCCACGAGCGGTGCAGTTGATCTTCCCTTCATCTTCTCTGCCAACGATTTTTCCGAGTTTACGATTCCATTCAAGGATATGTTTACTTTTGGCGTTATAGTCGTTAAGGAGCTTATCAAAGGCATCATCTAAACGTTTTTCGCTCTGATGAAAACCCTCCTGTTCGAGAAAAACAGTGGAGTTCTTCTGAGGGCAGGGCGTGTTAGTGATCTTAAGACGGATGTGCTTAGACCGAGCCACATACTTACCACACTTACAACACCAAACACCAGGCTGATTGTTCATTCTAGGCTTCAACATATGCCCATTCTGGTCTACAGCCGGAACTTCACCATGCTCAGCGTGCTGGGGCAGTTCTGATCGTTTGCCGGATTTATAATCCTGGATATAAGCTTGCCAAATGAGCACAAGAGTTTGCTGTATGAGTCTGATCTGCTGATCTGACATAGTTAAACTGTTAGGAATGAGAGCAGCATATTGTGTGCATGTTGGTAATTTTTGGAAATCGATATGAGCAATTGGCTTGCGAATAGCCGAAAAAAGGGGACAGGTCCAAGAGATATGTAAAACCGTGGGATCTTGGCCGCATGGACATGTCATGCATTGGGCATCCTTTCGGTGACGGGCATCTCTTTCTTCAGTCATGAGACCCCCAACTAGCAATCTACGCAAAACTCCTTGTTGCATAAACACGTTTTCATCAGCTGTAGCCAAGGCTTTCTTATCGAGTTCTTTATACAGCATCATGGTTCTCCTGAAATCAAGGTCTTGAACATCATGGAAATGCTGAGGTCTGTTTTTGGCAGCCTTCTTTAAAAGTTCACCCCGCCAGCAATCACGTAATTGATGTGCCCAAAGTTCGATGTTGAGCGAGCTATCGTTGAGCGAGCTATCGTTGAGCAATTGCAGCACTAAATCTTGAAACGGGCCTGCAAGTAACTTTCGAACCCTGTGAACTGGCCCATCAAATTTCCGGCTTGGACGATCGCGAAGCAAATTTTGAAAAGTACTGCGAAAGGAAGCATTATTCAGGCATCGAGCTAGAGTGCGTAAACCTTGGTAGGTATGGCAGAAAAGAGGATCAAGTTGCGAGGGCAATAATAGAGAAAAGGTAAGGTGAGGATTATGTGAGTAAAAGTCAAGAGAAAACATCGCTCTCATAATGCTGGACCTAATTTTGGTGAGAGATGGTTCATCCATACCAGATGTGCGCGTCCCCTGCCCATAGGTGGCTTGACTAGATGTAGCAACTAACATCTTCGCTTTGTCTCTCCATGGGAGAGGGCAATGCCGCATCTTGCACACTGTGGTATGCCATTTAGCAAAACGGCCTTTTTCAACTTCAGATACATTTGAATTTTGTCCCTCTGAGATAAATGATCCTCCGACAATTTTAAAGTTTTGGAAATGTTTATAGTCAGGGTGGATTTGCTTTTTTAAACATGGATGGCCGAATGTGAAGCTTTTGTTGATTGCAATTTCACCAAATTGAATTTCCTCGAGAGCTTGGACAATACGATTGAATTTTGCGATGCTATGGACTAAATCATGGGTTGAAGGAGAAACGCATGTCGCTGACACATCATCCGCGTACGTTCTGGCAACAACTTCTGGGCATCGAACTTGCGCTATTTCGAGAATGCTTGAAACTACGGCGTTCAAACCAATCATGGACAATGGGCAGCCTTGCAAAAGGCCATTATTAGCTACCCACCATGGCCCACATGAACCACGTAATTTAAAAACACGACGCATTGAAGAATACATGGCACTAAGTGGATTGGTGATTCTGCGGTGCATTCCCCTGGCAATCAAAGCACTGAAAAGCAATTCGAAGGGAACCAGATCGAAGGCCTTTTTAAAGTCATAGGCGATTCCTCCTGCTGCACTTTGTTGGTCAACAGCAGTTTGTTCGAGATGCAGGGCAATTTGCAAGCATAGGGCTTCTGCACCCCGCTTTGCACGGCATCCCCAAACCTCCGGTGGGCACCAAAGTTCTTGCCACTCAAGCGATGAACTGAAGCGGGCTTTCGCCCATAACCGGTATACTGCGCTTAGTACTGAAATAGGTCGATGTTCTAGGGGGCTTGGGGATTCACTCATACCTGTTTTTGGGATCAGCGAGGTGTACGCTTGACAGATTGGTGTGGGCCAAACAGAATTTTCTTCAATCCAATTGAGGATTTCAGCCAAACCATTAAACAAAGATGGAAACCACACGCTGAGCGCAATAAGAGACTGAGGCGTCCAGCCGTCTAGGCTGGGAGCACTGTGCTTACTTTTGGATAAAGTAGAGACTAGTTTAGATCCAGTTAAGGGTTCAAGATGCATATGAGACGACTTCATGAATGGCACAAAGTGATCTTCAAACGTCTTAACATCAGGTAATTTGTGTGCAAATGTTTGGAAAACAGGTAGCCAATCTTGGTGAATAGCATGTAACTGTGCATCTGTGTTAGCGGTGAAAGTGCCATCAGGCAATTTCATAGTGATGTCCTCTGGTGAGTCTGGTGACTTTAACCACTTATAGGCATTCTTTTCGGATTGCGCTAATTTGCTCTTCCAAGCTTTGATCCTAGACTGACGGTCCAGATGTTGAGAATGAATGAGATTTTGATTGAGCAACGATTCACACGATGAGAGGCTGCTAGCAGAAATAGGTTGATCGAGGAACTGAATAAACACGTTGCGGTCTTCATCTTTGAGACTGGGTACAACTTTACGTAAGTTTTTCCATGTATTGCGACTTTGTGTGCCATGGTTAGAGAGTCGCTGGAGTTCATGTACTCTACCAAGGGCGCAGGCAATCCTCCGCGAATGGAGGTTCAGCGTGTGTGCATCATGTTGGCGAGGAAACGTGCATTGTTTCTGGAAACGAACCTGCCCACGATGTTTACCAGTGTCATATTGCACCTTGTTAGCTTGGGAATGCGGTATTTTACATAACCACTCTTGCGCCAGATCACACCATTCCCGAAATGCACGATCAATGTTGTTCTTTTTAAGGTGGCACTGGATGGGGGAAACGCTGTCAATATGAGGGGGCACATAATCTTTTTGGACCGAATCATAGGGGGCTGAGATGTGTTGATTGGGCTGAGCAATGACGTATCTTACTTGCGTACTGCGTGGTAGGTTGAGCGTAACATGTACTTCGCTATGGTCTTGTGGGAGAACCCCTGGAACAACTTTGTAAGTTTGTAACAAGCCGGCAGCCATGGCATTAGTGAAAACAAAATCGATGCGCGAGCCATTGTTTTTGTGAGATGTATTTTTCTTTTTGTCTTCGCTGGAACCAAGGTTATGTGCATCATACCATTGTTTAGTCAAAAGTAGTTTTTGGAGGAGGGTACTTTCGGAAATCTGCACATTGAAATCTCCGACTATACACGCAGGGATGGACCCACGGCTGTTTAAGTCATTGGAGATATCACTGATCATCCCTTCAAGTTCATCTTTCTTGGATTGCTCCCATCTGGAACCAGCGTGTCCATATAAAATGTAGATAAGAATTGAGCGGTCTCCTTTTCCATAGAATATCTGTACTAAGAGAAGACGACCAGCGTTGAAATACTTTTCACACGGAGAATTGGTTAAAGAGACTTGTTTACTGTTCCAACAACATCCTTTCTTAACGAGTGCAGCAACTCCAGTTCTGGCGCCCTGCTTTACTGGGGCTCCCCAGAGGATGTTATAGTCACTGGCAACGTAAGGAAGCGACTTTTGCATGTTACCAGTACAATGTGTTTCTACCAAAGCAGTGAAATCCTGGCATCGGCTCAAAATCTGTTCCCACCGTCCTTCAACTGTGAGTCCATTGGTATTGGCAACAATAAAATGAAAAGATTTATCTTGGGGCTGTTGGCTATTCGGGGCGGTATTACCGAAAAGGATGTGCATCAGCTTGTTCCGCTTTTTTGACGGGAGCGCCCATTGCAAGAAGCATATGAGACGAGCTAAAGACCTGCATCACCAGGCTTTTTTGGATCTGGAGTCAAACCAGTCTTGGGTTGAGTTTCTTTGCGCTTGGGTTGATCTCTCTTTGGCGTCGAAACCTGCATTGCACTGAGCTGAGCTGCGAAGGCCTGCTGTTTGGCAGCACGCGCACTTTGCTTAGGTATCGCTGGATTTGCTGAAGATGTTGCACCGGTATTTTTGGCTTTGGCCTGTTCTTTGGCAACACTGTTGAGGGCTTTGATGTGAAATTGTCTCTTCACTCCGGACTGCACGTAATAGCCAGATGCCAGTTCACCTGGCTGAGTGGCTAGCCAAACGCCAGTACCATCGTCCACGTAGAGAACTTCCACTTTTTGGAAACCACGCTCCGTGAGCCATGCCAGTAGACCATAGGTGCCAACCGTATTGTCAATGCCATAGATTTTCCATCGTCCGAGATCAGAAACATCTAAAATGGAATGATTGGCAGCAAAATCTTTGAGACGATTGACATCTCTGAAACGTATGGCGTATTTTGGGCTAGCTGCATGTCCTTTACGGACCACTCCAAAGGCATCCTGGTGTTCTGCGAGCTTAACAGCATCTTGCAGCGACATGGCATCATCGAGCCAAAGAAGCAAATACTCTTGAGCAGGAGAAACTTCTTTGTAAAATACAGAATGTTTCCCCGAAGCGCGAAGCAAATTGTCTGTGAAATCTGCATGTAGAAGACATGTCGCAGTGTCATTGTGGCGAGGCTGAATTTCTGCCACAGCTTCGGCAGGAACATGGCGTTCCAATTCAGTGAGGACGAGGGAAGCTGGAATGGGGCCTTCTGGCCATCCCAAGGCAGTTGGAAACTTGCATTGAAAGCGACACATTGTAAACATCATAGGTACTTCTTCTCCTTGCATGATCTGCTCAACAGGTGGACCCCAGCCTAATTGTACAACGTACCTTTTTGCACTCGTGATCACTCGTTCTCCTCCAGGTCCCATTGTGCTGAGATTGACACGCAGCAACTTCCGATCATATCCGACCAACCCCAGGGTGTCCGGATCTTGAGTAAGTACCGCCGCGATACTCCTCCCACTGAAACCAACCTGTCTGATGACTTCCGGAAGAAACATCTTCGGCACCACAGCAATAGCATCGCTTTTCCCTAATGATTGCCAAGGAAGCACCGCCACACTCCACTCAGAGTCAAGGAGTGTTGTCTGTGCCCGGAGACGGGCGGCATCAGGTAATGCCATCTGCACTTGTTGTCTTATGTCTGCATGGAGGTCGGTTGGAACAAGGGGGGCAGCCTCAACAGGTTGTTGCTCATTGCTGGCATTAGGCTTGCCAGGGAATTTTCCCCGACCCTTTCCTTTGGCTTTGCTGCCACCATTGCCGTTCAGGCCATGCATCAGACGGTTACGTCTTTTCCGTGTAATGTGTCAAATGGAGGTGTTCAACTTACTGAGCAAACGATAAGGAGACTGAAAAATCGACTCTCGAAAAGAGACGTGCAAAGCCATGGTGTCACCAAATTGCTTGGTAGACCACGACATCTGGATGCACAACATGATTCCAAAGATGGTAGTGGTCTGGCAGAGAAATCTATTGCAGCACCACTTTTTGTTGATTCTCTTTTTGGCATCTCTGCATCGCCTCTTCTGGACAAAACGACATGGCATTGGGTACATTGATATGGATCGACGTTGTGCTCTGGCACATAGGTTGCGAATTGATTGCAAAATGAAAGAGAAACACGTGACGAAGGCATTGCATTGGTTGAAATAACAGAAAGCAACAATCTGCATGGTGGGATATGAAACAACGTCATTGAAGGGTTCGACCACACAGGTCAGAGTGAACAAAGCCCAAAAGGCTCGGAATAGAACATGAAACGACATGAAGTGTGAAATGTGACTGGCACGGTGCTTGCGCTGTCTCATCTCGTCCTGATGCTCTCCCACCTCCGGTACGCAAGCGTCATCAGGAGTCGAAGATGCCGGAGCTCCAAAAGGATCCCACAAGGCAAAGGCGTGCAAAGGCACTGTAGAAGCAGCCTCAGCAGCTTCAGCTGCAGAAACAGCAGTCCCTAATTTTATAGTGGGGATATGTGATGATATGATATGAAATGATATGTGATGATATGTGGTGATTTGATGGGATTTGATGGGATTTGATTGCTTCTTACATCGTGCTTCTACATGCTTTAAGAAAAAACAAAACATGCCAAAAAAATGTCAGGTTTTGGGTGGACCTTGAGGGCTGCAATTTTATAGTCCCTAAAAACTGCCTTCGATCAGGGGCTTTCTATAGGGGGGGTGCTCTCCAAAAGGATTCCACGAGGCAAAGGCATGCAAAGGCACTGTAGAAGCAGCCTCAGCAGCTTCAGCTGCAGAAACAGCAGTCCCTAATTTTATAGTGGGGATATGTGATGATATGATATGAAATGATATGTGATGATATGTGGGGATTTGATGGGATTTGAAGGGATTTGATGGCTTCTTACATCGTGCTTCTACATGCTTTAAGAAAAACCAAAAAATATGTCAAACAAATGTCAGGTTTTGGGTGGACCTTGAGGGCTGCAATTTTATAGTCCCTAAAAACTGCCTTCGATCAGGGGCTCCAATTCTATAGGGGGGGTGCTCTCCAAAAGGATTCCACGAGGCAAAGGCATGCAAAGGCACTGTAGAAGCAGCCTCAGCAGCTTCAGCTGCAGAAACAGCAGTCCCTAATTTTATAGTGGGGATATGTGATGATATGATATGAAATGATATGTGATGATATGTGGTGATTTGATGGGATTTGATGGCTTCTTACATCGTGCTTCTACATGCTTTAAGAAAAACCAAAACATGCCAAAAAAATGTCAGGTTTTGGGTGGACCTTGAGGGCTGCAATTTTATAGTCCCTAGAAACTGCCTTCGATCAGGGGCTTTCTATAGGGGGGGTGCTCTCCAAAAGGATCCCACAAGGCAAAGGCATGCAAAGGCACTGTAGAAGCAGCCTCAGCAGCCTCAGCCGCTTGAGCTGCAGATACAGCAGCCTTTTCAGTGTCGTCGAGCTTCTCTTCCTTGGCATGCAGCAGGTTGCTAATTTTATAGGGTGTAGGAATATGTAGGAGTTCAAGTCCCTAACTTTATAGTGTTGTGTGCGTAGATTTTTTGGATATTTTCAAACGCAATGATTACAATTTTCTTGGGCAATGTCTTTCAATGATTACAATAGTTGGTTTGAAATGGTTTGACTTTTGTGCCTTCGATTGATGACCCAAAAACTTCAGTCGACAGAATTGGGGCATTTTTAAATTGAGATAAAATTGGGGACCACATAATCGAAGGAAAATAGAGGGCCCCCAAAATTCGACTTGGGACACCAAATTTTAATAAAAAACCACCTATGACCAAGCCATTTTGGATGGCCCTAATTTTATAGAGGCCAATTTGGAGCTAATACCCTGCACAAGTTTAACCTGGGCACTGCAATTTTGTAGTGTTTTTGGGTTTGATGACATTGATGGGTTACTAGCAGGTTGTGATTTTATAGGGCTGATTATGTATGTGTCTGTCAAGATTTTAATTTTGTAGAGGGTCCCAAAAGGGCATTTTCAAAGGATAGGCCTGGGCCCCCTATAAAATTGGAACGCCCAGGTTAAACCCGTGTATTGGCAAGGGGATATGATATTATGATTTGATAAATGGATGCAAACTCATCATTTCTAGATATATCACAATGGTAAGATTATCAAATCATAATATCATACCCTCTGGTTATTTAACATAGCCATGGAAAATGGCCCTTAGATGGTTTACCTATTAAAAACGGTGATTTTCCATGGCTATGTTAAATAACCAGAGGGTACAGTAATATCTATATATCATAATATTTCTTGTATAAGACATTTGTAAGTTGATGTTGATGGTTGGTTTACTGGATTAGTCCCAGCAGCTTTTCGGAGTTCATGAAATCCCGCCCCTACTTCGTTTTGGGCCCCAACCATGAACACATCCAGTACCCTTTGGTAAACTTACATAACTATGGACCAGTTTTAATGGGAAAACTCACTATAAGTGGTGATTTTCCATAGTTATGTTAAATTACCAGAGGGTACATAAACCAGCGTTTCGTTTCGGTGTACTTAGTTGAGGGAGAAGGGCTGATATAACTTTTCTGAACGAAATGTTGGAGACCCAAAGCGTGCTTTCTTTCGCATCATTTTGGGTACCCCCATGTTAAGAACCACAAAATTTGATCGAATTGTGCATCTGCGCTTTGGAAATCTACTCGGATTTTGTTGTTAAGACAATTTCGTGCCCTGGCGTTTCCTGCAGTGTCCTGCAGGGCTGTGTTTGCCAGAGTTAACAATTCTCTCACATCTCCTTACTAATTACTAACATTATTAGTTACTGCAAATTGTTTTGGTACATTTTGGTACATCTTGTGTAGATGTACTAGCTGGATCATGTTACACCTAGTCACTCGAATTTCAAGCCCCAAACCAACAAGGGATTGATGACTTTTTCGCTAGCCACCTCCCCGAAATCGTGAATATTTGACGGTGGTAGATTTGACTAATTGGGTTCGCATTGTTTCAACTCCCACGAACAGACCAGAGTTTAAACTTCTATAAATGCACACTTGCAAAAAAGAGCCTTTGCGCGTTTGATGAATGTGCACGGTTTTCACCTTGTGACCTTGTTTTGTCGCTACATTTGCTAACTCCAGTGTGATTTCTTCCGCGTCTACTTGTGGATTGAGATATCAAATGGGTAGGGGCGAGCAACTTTGAGTTGAGATGTTTACTCCCGAAGTTTGGAGATATACCCGTCATCAACCCCAATTGAGGAATATTGAGGACGGTTTCCCAAAAATTAGGCCTAGTTATATATCAGATACCCCGGTTACATGTAAGTTTTTTAATCCACCATATCCAGTCCGCGCCGCCGAATTCAACAGTTGTCCTTCAGGCGTGTGAGAGCCACTTCGTGCTGCAGGTTTTGAAGGCTCGGGGAGCGCAACAGGCGCAAGTCCCTGCTGATCAGATCCTTGGAAAACTTTGCCTGGACCGTCCAAGTACTCACAAGATTTTACAATACTGGTTGGTGGTTTCATTTTCTTTATTTTCCATAATGTATGGGATAATCCTTCCCATTGACTAATATTTTTCAGAGGGGTTGAAACCACCAACCAAAATATTTGACCTGTACTTTCACGTACTTTTTTACATACAATCTTGTTGGGGATAGGGCGTGAAAGAGCCATTCTGGATCAAAAATAAATAAGTATATGAAAAGAACAGGAAAGAAGGAAGGAAGGATGAAAGGGAGGAATGAAGGAAGGAAGGAAGGAGGGAAGGAAGGAAGGAAGGAAGGTTCTTGTATCAAGTTTTTTGTTTTCAGTCTGGCTTCTTGGCTTTTGTGGCTCTTGTGACTTTTGTGGTTTTTGTGGCTTCGTGGCTTTTGCGCCTTTTGTCTTCTCGGCTTCTTGGCTTCTTGGCTTCTTTGCTTTTGGGCAATTGTTGCTTTTGGCTTCTGGTTTTTCATGTTTTTTCTTGCCCCGTGTGGTTTCTGGCTGTATGCTGTATCCAATGATCATATTAGAATTGTTTCCAAGGTTGCATTTTGGAGCATAAATATCGGAGAGGCTTTTATGACTTTAATATATAATCTAAGATTGGCTTTCCTCAGAGAAATTGTCCGCGGGCTTTTTCATGCGACCAGAGATTGAGACGAGCAGACTTAGCTCAGGAATAACTTTGCCAAGCAACTCGGCGTTCTGAAGATTCTGGTCAAGATTCTGAAGGCGCCCAGCACAAAAATGGGATCCTCACCGCAATCCATCGCATTATGCGGTGACTTTCTCTCACATCCTTGCGCCCACCCCTAGAGTCCTTAGAACATCTAATCTCAAAGAAGCAGCTCTCCATCTTGCCAAAGAGGGTTCTTGCTCAAAGAGTGTCAGGATTTGTGAAGGGTTTGTGTGTCGACATCCACATCATCGCCAGGACCCGCAGCTGCACCACAACACGCAGAGAGGGGGCACGTGTACAACCAGACAGCTGACAAATATCACTCACTTGTCCACCAAATCGAACCTGTTTTGGCAGCATCCTGGACCAAAGGTCGATCTTTTCAGGGAGCCTTGAGGGCGGGGTTGTTGGACGAAATCCGAGATGTGCAAAGCTGGTTGGACACGGTCTGGAGTATCAGCATCAAACAGCATTCCTTTCAGTTCTCACACTTGGTATCCCCCTTCGGCAGTCGCTTATCTGAGATGTGGTCATGAATGATGGCCACGGTCCAACTCAAAT